CTGTGAATCCGACGGGAGTTTTGTAAAACGGAGAAGTTTGAACTGTGACAGCGAGGAGTGCCTGGCAAGCGCTTATATGAGTCAACAGTTGCGAGGAGGACCCAGTAGAGAGTTTTGGGAGCGGATATAAAAGCGAAGAAATTAATACCATTCTCAAAGCTGGGGACCTCCAGTAATGGCAAGCAAGGAAGAGGATTTACAGTGCATGAATTGTTAACAGCAACCCGAAGGAAGATCAAACAAGCCGGAAGGAGAAGACAACAGAGGAAGCTCCTCCACGTCAGCGACACTAAAAGTAAGACCGGACTAAGAAAAGAAGTTTGACAACACACAGAAGAAGCCCAAGAAGATTAATTGGACATTACTAACAGTTTAATTTACCAGTTTATATATCACTCAGCTTTCTCTTTCTCCCACTGTCTACCTTTCCCATTTCTTCTTTTAAGCGAAATACCTCCCCTTTTTAGGGGAGTCAATAAAACTTTTATTAAAAAATAAAAATAAAACTAGCTATGGGGGGGGGGACGCGCAGATCTGCCCTCACAGAGGAGGGAGAGCTTGTATCTGAAGGTGGGCGGTGGGGAGGGGCTCTGCAACTTACCTGGCTGCTTCTTGCTCCTCGTGGCCTGACTGAGGGCTGCTGGGAGGAGGAGGTGTGGCTTGTTGCATGTGCCCACCCCCTGGGCTCCTTACTGCCGGAGCTCCGCTCCTGTGCTCTCCTGCAGGAAATGACCCCTGAGCCTTCCCCACAATTACAAGATGTTCTTAGGGTAGTAAGTATAAAGGCTTTGGGTTGCTGCTTGTAAGTTTTGTATTGAGCATGAAGAGTTCAGAGATTACTGAAGCAGGATGTTAAAAAACCCAACAAAAATATTTACACACAGATTATGTGGTGGATTACCAGGTGTGTTTATCGGCAGAGACAGGCCTCACAACTCTATCCTCTCCCAGAGGTAGAATTAAACCTCCGTGCCACACTACCAGAGTGACATGAAATTGTCTGTTCCCTTGCTGAGACAATTTCCCTTTTCTGTCTGCACTCTCTCTCAGCCCTCAGTTCTCATTTCAGAGAGGTAGATTTAATGACATGGCCCACAGTGTCAAAGGCTGCTGTATCTAGGTTAGCTTTACTTACTCAGAGAGCAGAGCATGAACATGCTCAGGGGGGCTGTTGCTTGCTATGTTCTTCGATGGAACATAGGTTCTGCAACTGAGCCCTAGCAAGTTTCCCTTAAAGTAAGTCTCACAAAAAAGACTTCAACTACAAAGCAATACTGTGAAACTTATTTGTTACTAAATATATCACAAGGGTTTTTATTCTTTAGTGAGAAGACTGAAGAAGTGTTCTTTCAAAATTGCCTCAAGGTCAAACTAAATCCCATAAATCCTAGAACAGCCTTTCCCCTCTTTACCTCATGTTTTAAGACATTAATTTCTTAGGTTTTTATTTTAACTTCTTTTAGATCTATGTATGAAGGAAAAAATGGAACAATTATAAAAGCCAAGTAAAAATAATGCACTACACTAGAAGAGGCCAAACCCAGAAAGGCTCTATTTGGGGCAAATTCCTGAGGGGACAAGTTTTACAGATGTCACCAAGAAAGTGTCAACGTAGGGTGCTGCAGCAGTGAAAAAGGCAAATTCTGTATTAGTGATTATTAGGAAAGGGATTGAACATAAAACGGCCGATATTATAATGCCCCTGCATAGATCTATGGTGAGGCCTCATTTGGAATACGGTGCGCAGTTCTGGTCACCGTATCTCAAAAAGGACATTGCAGAGCTGGAAAAAGTACAGAAGAGGGTAACTAAGATATTTGGGGGCTGGAGCACCCTCCCTATAAAGACAGGCTGAAAAATATGGGACTTCTTGGTTTGGAAAAGAGAGGACTAAGGGGGGGGGAATAATAGACATTGGGTGGAGAGAGCTGACAAAGAAACTTGAGGGCATCAAATGAAGCTGATGGGCAGGATAGACAAAAGAAATATTTCTTTACACAGAGATTATAATATGCTATTTGCTGCCAGAGGATGTAGTGATGGCCACAGGAATAAACAGCTTTAAAAATAGACAAAAGAAATACTTCTTTACACAGAGAGTGATTAAAATATGCTATTTTCTGCCAGAGGATGTAGTGATGGCCACAGGAATAAACGGCTTTAAAAGAGGAGTAGATAGATTCATGGAGGATAGATCTATCAGTGACTACTAGCCATGGGGACTGAGGGAACTTCCACATTCAGAGGCACTAAACTTCTGAGTCCCAGAGCCAGGAGGCAACATCAAGGGAAGGTCTCGGCCTCCATACCATGTTGTTGGCCCTCCAGAGGAACTGGTTGGCCACTGTGTGGGACAGGATGCTGGACTAGAAGGACCACCGACTTGATTTAGTAGGGCTCTTCTTATGTTCTGGTGGACCACTTGAAACCATCTGGTGGTTTGGGCTTTTGCAAACACTATTAGACAAGGCTGACCTCGGTCTGATCCAGCTCATTATATGATTTCTGTTTCTCAGATTTTAAAATGCACTATCCCACATTCTTAGCAAACATTGATCAAGATAGCAGGAAGCTTGTTAGCCTCTGTACTTACCGATAGGAACAGCTTATTGTTTATTGTGTAGGCAATTGTGGGGCAGAATGCGGACTCTGCTGAAAATGCTCCAAGCTCCTTCCCTGTGTCCCCTTGCCAAAGTTTGATTGTCCCCAACAAATCTCTTGTGACAACCAGATTATGCTGAGGGAGTGTGATAACTTGTACTAGTTTCGTTTCCTGTTTGGGACTCGACCAAATCTGTGTACCCTGATCAAAACAACAGAAAATGCCAGCTGATGAGCACCTCTTTAAAAATATGACCTCGTTGCCAGTGCAGCCAGTATTGCATGCTTGATTACTATGCATTTTTGAAAGTATTACATATTTGCATGACAATGTATCTCCTAGCACATAAATTCTAGTACCAATTTTTATGCTGCTGCTGCTGCTGTAGAGAAGGTCACATATCCATTTTTCTTTCTCTGTTTTCCCTTCACTTTGTTGGAACTTGTTCTGTTATTTCTCTGTTGGATCACTATGATGATTCAGTCTTGTTCATTGAGTTTCAAAGTCGATCTGCATTGGTAAGGCTTTTAACAAAATTTACATAATTTCAAACAAACGTGATCCAAAGAAAGCTCAATCTTGCTTGCCTTCAAGTCACAAAGACTGAACAGAAATAGGGATACTGGAAAATTCCATCCTTTTGCAAGACATCTTAAAAACCACCATATATATTTGTTCTTCCCTTCAACTTCCACTGAATTTTTTGTTGTGCTCACTTGCACCTACACTAGCAAAAAAAATTCAGGGAGTCCTTGCATTCGCCCCCTTCATATCCCTGTTGGCAAATAACAAAGTTTCCAGGATAGCTGCCATGTGCTTGACAGCATGCATAAACATCTGACTGGATCAGGCTCATTGTGAGTCGTGGTCTTTGTGTTTGTTTGGATGTACATGCTGTAATACCTTGGCCCTGCCCCTTTCCCGACTGCTTCTTCAGTAGTACTACAAGATGGCTAGCTTGTTCCTTATCCTTTTCAAACTAAAGAGTAGATATATACATTCACCATCCCCACATATTAAATCACATTTTATATTTGTGTTTTTTCCAGATATTGACCCAGACTAAACTGGCAATTTCAACTGATTTCCCCTTCCCAAAGCAGACCTCCCTTTCATGTTGTTCTGCAGGGTCCCCTATCCTTAGGGTTGCCAAAATGTTCTGCCCCCTTGAGACGAGTGTTATTTAGCAGGTGATGGTATTTGTCTCCATGCTATGAAAAGCTTCAGCTGCCCATTTCCACACATTAAGCTCTATTAATGGGATGTGAGTTTTTCTCTAGGCTTGTTGAAAAACCTTATCTTCCAGGAGAGCATTTCATGGAGATCAATGAACTGCATTTGGAAGGAGGCAGGAAAGTTCTGTTCTGCTGATGAAAAATTTAGCATGGATCCAACCGTTGGCTACTCCACAGTAAAGGAAGCTGAGTTTTCAATTCCGTAGGGCAGGGTGGCTGTGCAGGAACAGGTATTATTGGGTCTCAACCATGTTTGCATGTGACGGTCTGTTTGTTTTTCCTCTCCTTATTCTATAGTCCCAGCCCAACTGCATTGTTCTGTCTTATGAGGAATCTGTGCTGTTAGATTCAAATGTTGTTATATTTTGTAATCTACTCACTAATGGACTGAAAACTTTTTGTCTTATTTGAAATCTGCCTTGGGTTCCACAGAGAATGGTGGTCTATAAGTAATAATAATAGATAATAATTTGCTAATATAATGAGTATGTGGAGGGTAGGCGTTACTCCAGGAGACTGCCAGTCAGGACAGAAGGGAAGTTTTCCCTCTTCCCATTTTGGAGTCCAACTTACCTCTTGGACATCCCACGCCTTGACAGTGCCATCACCAGATGCAGTGCACACAATGGATTTTACCTTTCCCATGGCAAATGTGTGTTCATTCGGCGACAGGTAAGCCATATCTTGTATCTCTCCTAGAACAACATAGCACATAATTTGCTTTGGAAATAAAGTATCTGTCAACTTGAAAATCTCTGTTAATTTGATTTGCACGAAGAGAATGAGCAGCCATTCAAATATAAACCTGAGCAATCACTCTGATGGACAGTTCTTTTCTAGTATCAGGGTTGCCTTGTTCAGCATCTTGCAAGCCTGGAATTAAACATTCGGAATAAATGTGAGTAGAGTTGGCTGTGTCAATGTATTGAATGGGGCTGAGCCCAAAGTGACCTAATCAACTTAGTCTGTACTCAGGCTGCAAAGAGAAGCCCCCAGTTTTGGAAAGGGCTACAAGGGAGGAAGTTTTACCTACCTTAGCCAATAGGAGTTACAGTAGAAGAAGCATCTGAATTATTTGGGTGGTGGGACAGCTACTGAGAAGGCAGTAGCAACCACAACAGCCTTGGTATCATTTCTCCCAAATGGTCTGTGGGTGGGCCAGGCAGTGCAAGTCACACTCCTCTTCCTGCCATTCTGTGCCCATCCAGAATGAGCCAGTGCAATACAGGAACCACTCTGCATTGCCCTCAGTAACACCGTGAAGCCAAATCCAAATGACTGTCTGGAATTCTGACATGACTTCCAACCAGGGCTCTTTTTGTAGAAAAAGCCCAGCAGGAACTCATTAGCATAAAAGGCCACACCCAACAGCAGGAACTCATTAGCATATTAGGCCGCACCCCCATGTTACCAGAAGTGTGGTCATCCAGCCACACCCACCTTTTGCTTCTTATTCTGTTTACCTTATTTGTTGTCAATACCCAGGGCTTTTTTTGTAGCAGGAACTCCTTTGCATGTTAGGCCACACACCCCAAATGTAGCCAATCCTAATGAGTTTCTGCTGTTGGGTGTGGCCTATTATGCTGAGTTCCTGCTGGGCGTGGCCAACTCGGGAGCCAGCCGGAACTCCGTTCCTGTGTGTTCCTGCCCCAAAATAGCCCTGCTTCCAACACGATCCCTTCTTGGCTAGGATCTCAGTAAGAGGGAAAAGTAGGCCCAGTGACTAAAAATTACACAAAAACACCCCAATGCAGCTGCCAGGAGTAGCAGCAAACAAGCGCGAAAAGGAGACATGGTAAGGCATGAAGCACACTTCATATAACTTCTGCATTTCCTCAAACACAATTCCACCCAAAGTCTCTGAAGTATAGGTTTGAAAAATTTCCCTCAGTTGAAAAAGTCAAACCAGGACGTATGTACCAAATGCACTTCCACCAGACTTGCAGTAGTCACGCCAAGCTGCTTGTTAGGCTGAGAGCAATTTAAAACCACACTTCAAGGAGACTATCTGGGTAGGTGCTTCTTGGCAAATGCTTAATGATTATGGGCACACCTTTGTAACAGTGAATTTTGCACCTGCATGCTTTTCTAAACAAAGAATATAATGCATAAAGAATGTGGTATATGCTGGTTTTTAAAAACATCTGCGCTAAAAGATGAAGTACTGGTTTTTTGCCACACCTCATACCTTGATGTCCTCTCATGGCTTTACATGTATAGTCAGCTGAAGGTCGTCCTGACATCATTTTATGCTCAATATTAGAACGGTGGAGATAGTACTTTTTCCAGGTCTGCATTCCTGGCGTCACAGAGATATTGCAGAATGCCCACTGATTTAGGCACATATTTCTGTAAATAAAAACTATGAATTACCTTGAAATGTGAATGGCTTCCTCCGCAACTGTTTCACTGAATTACTAGTTGGTCCCATCCATAGGGGCTGGTAGGTAATTTTTCACAACTACCATCTATACTTTAGATTTGGGGTTTTTTTGGGGGGGAGGACAGAATGTATGCCTTATTTCCCAGCACTGCTTCTTTGATCAAATTGGAGCCTCCCGCAGCTGCTCTGAACCAAAATATTGGGAACCCCTTGTGTGGCTTTTCCTGAAGAGCATATAGTTTGGCCACAAAGCTTAGAAAGCAAATAATATTATTTATTAGAATCAGAAAACTATTTAATTCCCCTGAAGCCAGAAGTAATGCTGCTAAATCTAATTTAGAACACAAATATACCCCCAATAAGATGAAACCTAATAGCATTATTATGTACTGCAGCCTGTCTAGTTATTGCAAACTGTAAGAACTGAAGCAAGCTAACAATATATCACATATGTTATGATAAAACAATTTAATCCAACACGAAGTGAATTAATAATAGGGATTTGATAAAATTTATAAACATATATGGTAGAAGATATCAGAACAAAGCATGAACAATTCAAAAAGCAATTGGCGTCACCAGTGTAAGGACTACCTAATGATGAGTACATAATACACAATATACAAGCTGAAATCCTCTTGTACATACATAATTTCCAGATCTCCCATGGTGCTTGGAACAAGGACTTCAAGCAGAAATCTATCAACAGCTGAGCAAATCCTGACAGATAATTAATAAAGACCATTTTGAGAAGACCCTTTTTCAAGAGCTGACAATCTTCTATTAATTTGGTCAGATACCACTTATCAGAAGGGCAAATTAAATAATGGAACACCACTGCCTCCTATCACTCCCAAATGGTCTGCTTCTTAATTCAAGATGGGCATAGCGTTCTACCTGGAGATTGTGCATCCACAGGAGAACTTCAGCTTGTATACTGTGTATTATGTACTCATTAGGTGATCCTTCAATTGATAGCACCAATTGCTTTTTGAATTGTTCTGATATCTTCTGCCTTATATGTTTATAAAGTCTATTGAATCCCTATTATTCACTCTGTTGGATTAAATTGTTTTATCATAACATATGTGATATATTGTTAATTTGCTTCAGATTTCTTACAGTTTCCTGTATTGTCTAATTGTTTTTTTAATGCCCCCCGGAGGGGATTTTTATTGCTTTTTGTTGAGTTTCAAGTTGCTTACACTTCAGTCATTACAGAGTTAAGTGTTGTTTGTTAGGAAACAGGATGTTACGTTACATAACGTATTCTACGGCGGGAAAGTTTGTGGGAGTTGTTTAGCCTAATGAAGTGACCTGTAACCTTTGTATTGGTCAACTAACAACTTGCTTGTGGAAATGCTTTGATCTAGCATTAATGTATTCACAAGGTTTATGGCTCTTTGTGTGAACCAGACAGGAAGCTCCTCTCTAGAAGCCAACACACTTAGAAAGATGTAGCTGTTAGCATTTAGTACTGAAAGTAACTGCAAGTATGTAACCTTTTCATTTTATTTCTTTTATGCAAAGTACCTTACCCATGCTTTATTTTGTTTTGTAGTAAAGATATTTTTCTTTTACTGATGTGGCTCTTGTGTTTGCAAAATGACCATCGATCTTGAATCTCAGAATCCCAACCCTTTTTCTATAAACTACAAAGAAAAAATAGGGAGGGAACATCTACATCTAAGGAGAAAGGAAAGAAAACCACTAATAACTAAAACCCCAAGTATAGGAGATCATTACATCAGCTTATATAAGTGTTAGTCTAAAGTGCTTACATTACATTGAACATAGTCGATTAAGCTAAATTATTTATCTTTTTAACCATTTTTAACTGTTTAAAGACAACCCCAAGAGCATCATTTATACCACATACTTTAAGGCACCATTCAGAGTCCTTCAGCCTTCACTTTGCTTTATCTTTTTAAATCCTCAATTGGTATTCTTGTTTAGGGGCAGCTGCCCCCTTTTCTGAAGCAGCATCCTCATCAGGAGGCACAGAGTCCAGTTCACCGCTAGATTTGCTGTCATCTTCTTCTTTAGCGTCCTCAACTGGTTCTCCCAGTTGCAGTCTCAGAAACTCACACACTTTGGAAACAGAATCAATTTTTTCTTTTTTGTCCTGCAGTTTGAAAATGACAGCTTCAGGGGTTAACCATCTGTAGGAAATGCTGTTTGTTTGTAAAAAAAAAAAAAAAAAAGGATTAAGTCTTTATACTTCTTCTTCCTCTTCTTATTATTTCAAATGGGATGTCTTTTAAAATCCTGATGGTTTTGCCTCCGATTTTCAGGGGTGTTCCTGTAGTTACTTTCAGGATAGAATCCCTCACGTGTCTCTTCGAGAATCTAACCACTATCTCCCCAGGCAGATTATTTTTCTTGATGTAAACGGAATAGGTCCTATAGACCACATCAATTTCGCTTATAAGGTATTCCACTTTTAAATCTGTAACTGGAGCTAATGCATCGGTCAAAAGTTGCTTTAGATTCTCGTCTTTTACTTCAGGGACCCCTTGGAACCGGAGGACCAGGTTAGCTTTCTCCATTTGCAATTGTAAAAGTTGAGATTCATCTGAAGCTTGCTTCCTTTCCAGCATTTGCACCTTTTTCTTGACTTTTTTAGAGTTGGCATCTATTTCCTTTACTTTCTCAGCTGTTTGCTCTGTCTTTTTTGTAGTTTCAGACAGTTGGAGCTGCTGAGTTGCAAAGTTCTGGTTTAGAGTTGTCAGCTGCCGATTGATGTTAGTCATCTGATCCAGTAGAGGGTGGAAAGAGTCCGCCAAAAGTTTAGAGAACTCAGTGGTCTCTTCCGGTCGTGGGCTCATGCTCCCCGGTGGTTTCACTTTCGGCTGTTTGTCTCTCTCTGCTTTTTTCCACGCCATTTTTATGGATTGTTTACTTTTGTCAAAACTTGCTAAAGTCTCTGAAATTCGCCCAACGCCTATCCGCACTCTGGTAAGGTTCTTAAAACAGATTTCAATGCTTTTAAGTCTGTCCCCCCTTGCTAAATAGCTTTTTAGTTCATGCGTATGGGAGAGGCCCCTCCCCTGCTCGCTTTTCTCATCATTCTCAGGGGGGGACTTTCTTTTTAAGTTGCTGATATTTCGCTTTCACTTGACTCACTGTTGGTTGTTGGTCATAAGACCTAACTCAAAATGCGTTTTAAACACTCTATCTCCAACGCTTGTCCCGGTCAGCGGCTCTAGTTCCGTTCAGACGCATAGCGGCAGGACCGTCGGGGCAGAAGAGCGCCTCAATCCCCCAGCATCGCGCTGGCGAACAGGCCACCCTTCAAAAGCCCCATGGCTAGGAGCCTTTCACAAAGGCTCCGAGGTGGCGGCGGCGAACATTCGACCCCCCTTCTAACCGCTAGTGCGCAGATTGCACCCCCAGGAGGTCCAGGAGGTGTGTCTGCCAGTGTGTCACCATAAACCGGAAGTCTCCTGTATTGTCTAATTGTGATCCCCATTTGTATTTTGCTCATCTAGTTATTGCAGCAGCTTGGAAAAGCTGTAAACTCCCTTTGTTATCAGATTGGTACAAGAATATATGGGATATATTTGTTATGGGGAAAAAATGGACTAACAGACGCAGATCGAATCAAATCAATATAGCTCTAATTTTTTTGAAATGTGGCATCCAATAATTGAATGTACAGCAAATGATAATTCTATCTTCTATTTCACCCACCCCAAACAGTTCCTAACTTTATAATGCAGTTATGTAGTAATTTATAGCTATAAATATAATTGTAATTTAATAGCTTTGTTGTAGTTTCTTTTTAATTTAGTTCTTTAGCTAGTGTTTATTTAAATTGGAAATATTATAACTGTCAAAATTATTATATTTAATGTACTACTAATATCATAGGTCTATATTTTTGTGTGTCATTTCTCAATGTTTTGACTCATAATATCTGGTGTATATTGTTTCTAAGCCCTTATTGTAAAAGTTTTAGCTGATTCAATAAAGTTAAAAAAAGAAAGCAAATAATACGCTGCCTCTGTGATATTATTGAGGCAAACTGCCAAATCTGATGATGAGGGTTGAAAAGACTGCACAGAAGCGAGTCCAGACAGCATGGACTCACAGCAGTACATTATATTAACATGACACAGCTGGTTTTTCTAGCTTACAGTCATTGTGCGAAATGTGTTTTAAAATTATTTATTGCAGCCCATTTTAACCATGCTAAAGTAAGATTATAAACAGTTTTCGATCTGTCATTGTACTAACATCCTGGAGTTCCAATGCCTATACTCACTCAGTACCTGTAAAGAATCCATTCAATGGTCAAAATTCATTCTGGGTCAATGGAGATGGTCTGGTGGAACATGTTAAAAGAGTACAACACAGCCAATCTCAAAACATACCGTAAGTAGTGCCGAAAAGGAGCCCATATTTTCTAAAAGTTGGCAGAGGGAAAAGACACAAATGTAGATGAATTATCTATTTAGTGTAGGTCTTAGGATATATCTGCACCTGCCAACTTCTGTTGTCTGTTCTTCCCTTCTTTTTCTTTTCCCTCCGACACCTTCTGTGGGGCAATATTGAAGTCCTGCTTGCACAGGAAGGAGGCAAGGGAAGGAATGGGCAGGAAACACAATAGCTGCACAACCTTTCGTTGAATCATTAACATCAGGGTCTCTATGGACTGCAACCTGGCAAGTCAGTAGGAATTAGTTACTCAGGTCATCAAGTTTGAAGTTTAACTGAGTTATAAATAGTCATTATTATCTAAATCTGTCTAGCTGGTTTTAGTCAATAGTAATTCCAAGGGTTAAAGCTATTTTAGAGTTTACAGGATGCACACAAGAGTTGTTATAGAGTGTTTCATATCTATATTCAAATTTAGGGTTGTTTGTTATTAATAGTTGCATGTTTGGGTGAAAAGAGCACAGAATACTAAAGATGTATTTTACTGCATGTATTGGTCATTTGTAATTTGCTGTTGTCATTTTTGTGTTCTATTCTGCCCATGTTTATACTTGAGAAAATGATATAAATAAAGATATTTAAAAATTTTTTAAAAAGTTTAAACAGCGATCCCCACCACCGACAGCATTGCAGAAATCTTGCCCTTCCTCTCTGCACCCTCGCCTAAAATTCTAATTCATGTTCTGGTCTTCTCACCTTCCTCCAAAACTCCACTTCTGGCAATCATACCCCTTCAGTAATGTAACTGAAGCAAACTGCCAGGTCTGATTATGTTCTTTTTCCTATCCAAAACAAGTTCCTTGTCCTGACCTTTAAAGCTCTCTATACCTTTGCTGCAGTCTATCAGCTCTCTTTCCCCACTATATCCATATCCTTGACCTTCCTTTCCATCACTCTCAACTGCCCAAAAGTCTCTAACTCGATTCCATCCATTCTTCTCTGATGGTTCGATGCACAGAACTCCATTCGCGAATACATATATGGTGTCACCTCCGTCTTTCTGCCACAGTAGTGTTGCTACAGACACAAGATGAACTTGCCTAGCTGAACTTCCTTGATTACACACAACAGGGGTTCCTGATCTCCTTGACAGTAGTTGTGAAAGTTAATCTCCAGGAGCTTGTGCAGTAGAGGCTGGTTTTATAGTCCCCAGTCGCTGCAGCCTTTACCAGTTTTTGGCCAGTCCCAGAACTAAAGTTTCTTGATTGACAAGTGAAGCACATATCCCCTGGAGACATTTTTGGGTCATTAAAGTGATCTGCAAAGCACAAAATTCATTGCCAGTTGTTCCACGTGCCAATCTTTAAGACTCACTGTGAGGGGGTATTGCCAAAAAACAACCAAATGGAAACTTAAGATGTTTCTTTGGTTGACCTAAAGCAACACACAAACCACTAGCTCATGGTATGGAGTGCTGAGTGAATGCTCCCTGTGGCATTCATCTCTTTCAGGGCACTGAGGGGAAAATCAAAAGTTTACTTATTTATTCCAGGCAATAATCACTTACTCTTGTAGTTAAGAATGATTTTAAAGCAGTATGACTCAATGTGAGGGGGGGAAAGTATAACAGTATCACCAGAGGTCATTTCGGGGGGGGATCGCGGGGGAACACAGTTCCCCCGGGTGAGGTGCGGGGGGCGGGGCACACGATGAAGCCCCGCCCCTGCTTCCAGCCAACCCGCTTCCAGCCCTCATTCAGCCAGGAGGAGGCAGTAGAAGAGGGAGGGTAAGTTACTTCCGGCCGGCGGCAGCCGGGACCGTTGGGGGCGGGGTGTGTGGCCTTATGACACACTTCCGGTGATGTCAGGGGTGTGGCCTTATGACACACTTCCGGTGATGTCAGGGGGTGTGGCATATGCTAATGAGTTATGCTAATGAGTTCCCCTAGCTCTTTTTCTACGAAACGACCCCTGAGTATCACTGATACATAAAACACACTGAAATATGTAAAAGTTTTTATGAGTAAATAAGAATACATGGCAATTCTATTCTGTCTACATTGAATCTAAGAATGAATCCAAATTCTCTCTCACCATAGCATATGCAGAAAACCTTCTCTCACCCAAAGCATATGCACCCTTGCTGAATCTAGATCTGAGAAGTTTGTACATTTCCAACTATTTTATCTTGCTGAAATGTCTACTTCATTATGTTACTCTGAGCATACAAGTAATATTCAAAATAAAACTAAAGGCTAAAGACAAGCTGCCAATTTACAATAAGTTCCTGGGATTTTTGATGGCAGATAAACTGCTATTCATGAGAGGTCACTTCAACCGTTATCACAGTGGATTTATGTCAGCTGAATGTATTTCTCTACACCAGGTGTGGCCAAACTGTGGCTCAGGAGCCGCATGTGGCTCTTTCACACATATTGTGTGGCTCCTGGCAGGCCAGCTGGGGGAGCTAAATATCATTACCAAACAAATATCGTTGGACAAAGAAATATCATTATCAATATCTGCTTTTACCGCTTTTGTTATTATTTTTGGCAGTCTCATTTAAAGTTAATAAAAAGCAAAGTTGCATATTTCCCAGTAAAAATGTGTAACGTTTGTTCATGTTTTGCGGCGGCTCTCAAGCATCTGACGTTTATTCTATGTGGCTCCTACTTTAAAGCAAGTTTGGCCACCCCTGCTCTGCACTAACTGCCTTAAGACAGTAAGAAAGAGAAATATCTAATGGGAGTTGTTTCAGTGACATTAATTCAGGCTACCCTGCTAAAAAAGGGGGAAAGTTCTATAAGAATACATATATTTTGCATACTATGAATGATTTACATTAAATTAGATGACACCTCTTTGCACCATCTGCAGTCAGATGAATCTTTATTGATCAACATAGCCTACAACTGTGTGGCATTAATTTAAGAACTCATCTGAAGGGGTCTCCAACATGGTGCCCACCATGGTTCCCACCAACACCATACCTGTCATCTGCCAGATGCTTTTAGAACTTGGGTGGGGCAAGGTGGGACGTTTGCTTGGCGGGGCTTCTGATTGGCTGTGCAGATTTTTTTTTAAAAAAATTGCTTCAGCAGCAGCTGCTATTGAAACACAAGAATCTTCACTGTGTAACTGAAGGTAAGCTATGCGTATGCAAAAATTTTTTAAATCTGTTAATTTTAAAAGACACCCATAGACTTTATTTATAATTACATTATTTATAGCCTACCTTTCTCACTTGGACTCAAGGCAGAGTTGTAACCTCACTCCCTGACATCCCTGGCTCCACGTCTTTTGGCAGCCGTTTTGTGGTTGTGTGCACCATCCTGCCACGATTCCAAAGATGTCTGCCTGCATTTCAAAAACCTTGGGAGCCTCTAAGCTAGGTTCATGGGTGAACACACAAAAGCAGACACTGAAATCTCTCTCCTTTCTCCCCCCATTTTACTTCGAAAATGCAGGGGGGTGGCAGCAAGTAGCCAATGGGAGGGCACAGTGGCAGCAATAAAGCCTGAATATGAGATATCACAGTCATAATTATTCTTTTCGGTACATCTGAACAGCTCACCAAATGACCAGCCCCCTGCTAGTAACTGGTGAGCAAGACATCAGCCAAACTGATGGGTGTTCAAGCACAATTCAAAGACCACATTTTCCACGAAGCTGTTGGCTTAATCCACATTACCAAATCTAACCCAAGGCAATACTAAAGAAATTTGGAAATCTGGTCTTTCCTACCTGCAACTCTATTATCCTTCCTGTTGATTTTATGTTCAGATTTGACTTGTTATATAAACATACAAAGTTTAAAAAAATGGAAATTGGATTGTCCTCTATATTAATGGAATTCTTTTGATCCAGTTCTTAACAACTACAAAAATGTACTCACCTCCAAAGAGAAGCAGTCTCCGTTGCTTCGAGCCATGTCTAAAAAGCAAAATTATAGATTTTTAGGAAGTAGTGCCTCAGGACTCACTGAATCTCAGTATACAGTGCTTGACAAAGGCATTGGGTGGGGGGATTCCTTAAGAGTTTTAAGCACAGTTTTAGAAACTCCCTCTCTTGTGTAAACACTGAAGTATGAAACATTATTAATCCATTATTTGTTTCTTCAGAGTACTTACTTCGTCCTTTATCATTGGTACAGAAAGAACATGTTCTCGCCAGGCATCTGTGCTATTAAGTGTCATGATTTAGCAGAAATTCAGAGTGATTTCTCCCCCCCCCCCCCCCCCCCCCATGCAGCTACAGTGCTGGGGAAAGTATTCCCAGCTGAATTATTGCTGGCCATACTACTGTAAAGTGCACAAGGGCTCCCCCAGAAAAAAAAGGGCTACAATCTTACAAGCACCCCTCTCATTCCTTCAAGTTCTGCACAAACAGGGACTGCCTGTTGGCCAGGGCTTTTGAGAGGGTATAAAGGGAGGCATCTTTTCAGGGGGGCGGGATTTGGGGCTTGCTATTTTATTTTAGGGCTGGTTTCACTTGCCATTCTCTGTCCAGAGAGTAACTACATTTTTTAAAAAGACAAACAACAAGCCCACTCGGACTCCCGCCCTCCGCACTTTTCAGGCCATATGTATTAGATAATATTTAACCCTATGCAATTTCTTCTCCAGCACTCCCACACAAATACCGGGATCAACAGTTACAAAAGATAATAAAGGAACACAATTGTATAAAACTACTGCGACACTCAGCAACTAAAGGCGAAAGTGAATGTTAACCCGAAGATCCTGACAGTAATATCTGAAGAGTTTTAAAGCTACTATTTGCATATTGGACTAGAAGGGAGAAAAAGGCTTATTTTTCTAGTTCCTGTGCCCGCAGCAAAAGCACTCCGGCGTAAAGACGGATCTGGAGCATTTGCTGCCAAGCCACAGGTTCCGTTCCTGTTACCTTATTCACTTGGGCTGCTCTGAGTAAATCCGGTGCCTCCAGGTGCGAGAAAATATGGACCAGGCAATCTAGCGTAAGCAATTCGCCGCTCATCTTCCCTCCGAGATCGCCCCGCCCGAAACAAATTTCCGGGTGGACGGTTCTCTCTCCTCCCTGGCCGAGCGTAGTCGCGGGAGCAGTTAAGGTGGAGCTAATCTTTACAAGAATGCTTTAAAGAAACAGAATCATGTCTAAGAGCGCTGAATTCAGTTGATGTAGGAAGCTATATTTCTCGTTAGGATTGCATCGTTGAGGCTCAGCCCGTATCCTAAATGCTGTTTTCGTGCTTGGATGAGAGGGAGAAGTCTGTTCATCTTGAATAATTGCATTATTGGTCGCTAGTGGATTTGCGTCTCCAAAGCTAATCGACCCGTGGCTCAATTCCCGGAGCAAACTCGGTCAAATCAAATCAATGAAATGTTGTACTTCCTAGTGAAGAGGTTTTAATACTCGAAGACAATCTGAAGGCAAAGCACACCCCTCCAAACGAAATATGATTCATTCCAAGAGCAAAGACCCACCCGTAGGATCAACTTAACATGGGATCTAGCCAGCGACTACTTTTGAAGGCACAACGGAAAGCATCACCATCATTCAGCTTCTTCCCATTTATGTAGAACACAACATAGTAACTTTGCTAATGTTAGCAGGATAATTTCGGAGAGTAGCTCCGTTGGTTTGCGGTAGGACACCTCGATTCGAGTCTAGTAGCACCTTAGAAACCAACCAGAGTTTTAAATTTACCGGCGTCAAAACTCCCTCGCAGATACAACCTGGACACTTATACCCCCCAAATCAAATGCGCTACTGGACTTGAATCTAGCTGTTGGTTAGGAGAGAAGTCGGGTGGTTTTGCGTGTTTTGTTACAAATTGTAACAAAAGCAAATCAGCAGGACCTTCTTTACCTGATGAACAGAATTGCAGCTCGAGATGCTATAACCTATCGTGCTTATTTGCCTACTAAAATAGATAGGATTCCTAAATAAGCACGAATGTTTATGTTTGGAGACAATTCTCAGGCCTCCGGGCTATGCCAGGGCTCCCTACTTAGCCATCACCCTTTGCGCACGCGCGATGAGAGTGACGTCTATGCTGCTCCTGCCACGCCTCCGCCGCTCCTGAAGATCGCCGGGAACTTGTGCGTCATTCTGGGTCCCAGTTTATTCTCCGGGAGAAGTTGCGCTTTTAAAATCACATCAAGTTTACATACTGTACCACTTTTCCGAAAGCACGCGCCCTCAGACTCCTCCCTTCCGCGGAGCCCCAGGCATAGAAATAGTGTAATCCCCCAGGCGAAGACTTCCCCATAGCGACCTCTGTCTGTTAGATTCCTGCCTCCCGAGAAGCTTTTAGAATTTGTCCTCTACAAACGAACCCTACCCCGTAGTGGAAGGGGCGGGGGTTGTGGCCGGGGATGGGTATATGTGAAATCTGCAAGAAAAACGGCGATCCTAGGCCAGTTGCTTTTCTACTCCCCCCCCCCCCGGCGCTCTGTTCTTCGACGGTCAGTTTTATTAGATTAGTCAGGCTTAGCCCTGCGTAGAGCTTCCACGACTCTTCGACCTCTGAAAGATGCTTAACCAGCACCAAGAGTACATGTAAAATCTTACAGACAGCACATGGCTGCCTCTCCTCCACCCTGACCTCGGAGCCTCTCTTCCTGGCCCGCCTTCTCACAAGCACAAATATTTCCGGCGTTGCTGAGCATCCGGGGAATGATAGTTTTTCCCCAGCCGCTGCCCTACAATGCAACTTGGCATGCTACGCACCTGCCGCTGGGTTGTTTGCCGTTAGAGCCTGATGCTTTAGTCGCTGTGGCTGCCTGAATGTCGGTTCTGTTCCTACTGACGCTGTCTGGCGGTGATGAGTTGCTTTGGTGGGTCTCCTGGCCGCAGCGCCAAGGCAGAAACGCGAAACAACAGTGCAGTACGTGCCCACCTTCTGTGGATAACAGCTTTGGATTGTTCCGATGCATCCCTGCGCCCTCCCCCCATAGGTGAAAAAGTACACAGCAGGAAAGTTTCTCCCCCCTTTTGCTTCGCTGGTGGCGGCTTCCGGGGAGTTTTTAAACATGGCATAACAAAATGGGATTTTTCTACCTGCAGTTTGAAGTAGTACCGTTTATTTATTTATTTATTTACAAAATGTATACCCTGCCTTGCTGGCCTTGCAAGTCAGCTAACGATTTAATACATTCATAAAACACATTATAAAGCCCTCTCCCAAACATACCTCATTGAAACAACTTTTTAAAAGTTACAAAAACAGAACTAAAAGGCATACAAAGCATAAAACTCTTTCCCGCCTGCCACCTCACCATTCTACATCCAACTCAGTCTGCTACTGCAGAATTCAGAGAACATAGCAGCTAGCTTGGCCCAGTTAAGTAGCTTTCAGAGTGAGATGCTAATCAGTTTGTTTTATATGTCCTTCTTGACAATGGCCCATTCTCCATGGAGCCTCTTAGAAACAAAAGACAGTTTAACTGCAAACTGAACCTGTGCAACTGCATTCTCCCCACACACACATTGTATTTCAACTGGACACAACTGTCACCTTCAATTGCCTCTGGGCCGTTTTTACTACAGGAAAAGCTGTAGTCATTTCCTCTGAATGGCAAACAGTCAGCAACTTCTGGCTTCAAATTATTCAGACGTGAGGGCTGTTTTCAACCCAGTTTAAAGTGGGGAGGCCTCAGCTGGTACAAGCCACATAACAGGAAATCATTGAAGAGTCCCAAATCCTGGTATCATGCTTTTGGGCTGCCTTCACATGGAGGATTTGCCCCTCCACCACTCTCAAATGGGGGGGGGGGCAGAGCATCCACAAGATGTCATCTTCCATTTGTGCACCTTCTCTTGTGTTCTGCAGGCTCCCCTGGTTTGCTCCAATTTTCCAGAACCTGCAACTGCTCCTATCATTCCAGAAATATCAGAGTCAACATTTATTTGACTCTGAGAGCCTTACTGGACATCACAGTTTGGTGTAGTGGTTAAGTGTGCGAACTCTAATCTGGGAGAACCGGGTTTGATTCCCCACTCCTCCACTTGCACCTGGCTGGATGACCTTGGCCAAGCCATAGTTCTGGCACAGCTGTTCCTGAAAAAGAGCAGTTTCTGTCAAGAGCTCTCTCAGCCCCACTTACCTCACAGGGTGTCTGTTGTGGGGAGGGGAAGGGAAAGGAGTTTGTAAGCCGCTCTGAGACTCCCTTGGGTAGTGAAGGGCGGGGTATAAATCCAATCTCTTCTCTTCTTCTTCTTCATTGTTGAGAGACAGGCATGGCCTAGTGGTTAGATGAGCTGGCCTACAATCGAAGCCCCACTCTGCTGTGGAACCTTGGGCCAGTCACACGCTTTCAGATTAACTTACTTCACAAGGTTGTTGTGAGGATAAAATGGAGGAGGGGAAGAATGTTGTAAGCCGCTTTGTGTCCCCACTGGGGAAAAAAGTGGTCCATAAATGAAGTAAATAAAAACTGTTTTCCCATAGTGTGTTCAGGAAGATGGAGTCTTTGGAACTGCCCTCCCAACCACCACCCCTTCCCATCAGAACTAATTTAACCTTTTAAAAAAAGGTCAGTACTATAGCTTTTGTTTGTTTGTTTTTGAAAACTCTGTAGCCGGGGGTGGGGTGGGGGAGATAGCAGGCATGAGGAATAGAGGGGAAGGCAGTGAGATTTCCCTTTGTGGATGTTCCATACTTGACTAGGGAGCACTTTTAAATCAGTTAATAGTTGTGATCCTCTGCATACTGACTTGGGAACAAGCTCCACTGAACACAGAATGGCTTACTTCTGAGGAGAGATCTATAGGATTATCATGCTGCAAATATTTTATTATATCTTCCAACACTATGTAATATATTACCATTAAGGACATTAAAGACCCTGATGCTGGGAAAGATTGAAGGTCAAAGAAGAAGGGGACGGCAAAGGATGAGATGGTTAGACAGTGTCATAGATGCAACGAACATGAAATTGAGCAAACTTCAGAGGACGGCGGAAGACAGGAGGGCCTGGCGTGATCTGGTCCATGGAGTCGCGAAGAGTCGGACTCGACTGTGTGACTGAACAACAACAAAGGACATTAAACCTTTGTTGTTTTCCCATGTTGTAGGGACCTGTGATGGAAACAGGAACATTCCATGTTTACTGTTTTTTTTTTTTATTGCATCCAGTCCTTATTCCATGTTGGCAGTTCTTTTACTCAGCTTTCAGGCTTGCTTGAACTATATGCCTCATAATCCTGAAGGTGTGTCTCAGACAGAGCGAGGGGGAAAAAATCCTTAAAATTCTTGGCATCAGTGAATTGTTTCCTTCAAGAACTGCATCCCTCTGTAAGTCCTGGAGTGCTTATTGTGCATTTCTAAACCAGTGCTAGACAATAATAAATGAGGCAAATTACAGGCCAGGATGTGTTAGTGATAACTGTTTTCCACTAGAGACAGAAGCGGTGAAAGTTTCCAGCACAACAGCAGGGTGATTTTCCCCCTTGCTCAGTGAGACAACAGTCAACTCTGACTCACCCAGACAATCTGTCGTACCCCAGAAAAAAATATTCAGCGGTCTGATAACATCCTATTAGTAGCACTGGAATTGATCTAGAAGTTGAAGTGGGGTAGGCCGACCTACAGAGGTCTAACCTTTAACTTGATGTTTTCTTGTCTCCATGTCTAAAAGGAAATCACATGGATGGCATCAGCCTGACCCAGAAATTATTGCAGGGTGTAGGATATTTTGTGCAAATAAGGAAGGGCAGAGTCTGTAAGATGAATCACCAAAACAGCCATTATCCTGAGGAAAAACCTTGGTGGGTGGACTAACAGTGATAAGTTCCCTTACAAGGTAGCTGGATGATGTCAACTGCCTTGAATTGTTGGTTAACCAAAATATCTGCAGTAGAGTATTTAACAGCTAGACAGGTAGAATGGCTCTTTGAGAGTCATCACTACTACACATATAACATTGTAAGGTTATTGAAGACTGGAATGCTACACTGTAAACGAATAAAAAAAGTAAAAACAGTCCTATTTTTAGGAGCCTACGCAGCATGAAAATAAATAGAGAGGCAG